ACATACAGTAGAAAGTTGAGACTTATTAATCTTCAGGCACTTATTAATCTTCAGGCACAAGCATTTTATTTTCTTCAAATGTAACATAGCTCCCTTGTTTCTGCTGCAAATACACAGGTCTAAATGATTACTAGATATTCATACTAATTATTCACTTTTTAAGTGTGATGGCTTAAGAATTTGGATAAACTCATCTAGCTAAAGTATTATGTGAATATATCACACAGATGCTGCTTCTTCAGAGGACGACTCTGGTATCTTAAAGCAATTTGCACTTGCTTGGGAGGATAAACCTTCCATTGTTAGCTACTCCCCCAAAATCAGTCTTTCTCAGCAGCTGCCTAAAGATCTAAAGTTACCAGGACTACAGCTATTAATGTTCTACATTTGTCCAAACAACAGTTACAGTACCTGTAACACAAATATTGCTTGTGATAAAACAAAATCAACCTTAGATGCCAAAGCCCTTAACAAGAACCAAGAAATACTATAGCAGAAGTTGTCAGGTAGCCTTAGTCATTTTGAAATACAACATCATCTACCCTGTACACCTCAACATGTTTTGGCACAAGTTTTTCTTTCGTTCTTCCTTGGAAGGTCTAGAAGCTGCAAATATGATTCACTGTATGGACAGCAATTATCCACTCTATCATCATCTTAGATATAGTGGAAGCTACTGGACTTGAACTGTAAATAATAAAATAATTTTAATCTTAAGTTTATCCTTGATTTTCAGCTATTCCACTTTCTTTAGCCACCTATATTTTAAACTAAAAACCACAGAAAAATCTCATTCCAGTACTTAGTAGTTATTGCCTCAGCCACTTATCAATGTAATGTATCAGAAGGGCCTAAAAGCCTGTTGTTTGCTTCTCGCAGTAACTTCAAAAGGCAACGTTCCTAATGAGCAGCTGCATGGGGAAGCTGCACTTCAACACCATGAACTGAAAGGGCATAACGGCACTACCGCCAAGCCCACCTAATTTACATCCCTTTGCATCAGCAAGGGCTTTAAACGATGGCAATGTATTTTCCTAAACAAAAGAATCCAGAGCCAGCATAGATCTGACCTTCAATTTTGATTCTGTGATTTTTACGTCTCAAAATCTATTTGCCTGGTGGCTCTTTTTTCCCTCCAGGACTTGAGAGTGGTGTCACGAAAGCCAACACATCAAGTCCCGTGAAAACATGCGCAGAAGGACACCATTCAGGAAAGTGGAAGTGCCTGGGAGCTGTAGTTCTCTTTACAGACACACCCTCATGCAAGTTACTCCCAGACATTCCCCCGTTACAGAAAGCTACTGTAGGAAGACAGCACAGCTTTTTTCCCTGAATATTTTCAAACTTTTATATTTACAACTGAGTTGCTTTTCGTATTTTGTCTCACATTTCAGATCTTCATGAGCGCATAGAATTGGGGAAACAACACAGACATCACCTTTTCACTGCACCTGAAAAATACTGTAATAGCCCCTACTTGATTTCTTCTGATAGTTTCCAGCAAAAAATCTATGACACACACTTGCAAGGAAGACGACTTCTCCCAGTCTGCTTACACAGGAATTTTGGAAAGTTCATAATATCTTACTATTTTCAAGTTGTGAGTTAGAGTACAACAGAATTGTTATTGACAGATCTAATCATACTGAAGTATACTGCCTTGCAAACAAATGCTTCAAAAGCTGCACAAGAAAACCAACAAAAAAACCTGGGATTGTGAATTCTCTATATAAACAGTATCACCAGGTGTGTTAAATAATGAGTAGAAATGCAGGATCACCTTTTAAATGAGAAAATAAAACATGCTTTTGTCTCTTACTGAAACTCTTTCTGTTCCTTGCAGACTGATGGCAGCAGATGCAGTATTCCCTCCTCCTCCCCCATCAATTGGTTCTGCTTTCCTGCCAGCCAGTGAAGGCAAACCCATGGCATTACCCAGAAAAAAAAAAAAACCTCAAAACAAACCAGTCCCCCCCCTTCCCCAAACACGCCATTTTCTATCAATAAGAAACCAATCACTTACACCCAATGGCAGAAAAGTCTATAGTTGAATTAGGTTTTTGGAGATGACACAAGAAAAGTGAAGGTACTTTCAGTCTGGAAAGCAACTACAAGCTTTAACACTTAAAAAGTGGGTATTCATTAAATTACTATCATATTAAATGCCCTAAACCCACCCACCCAATGCCACAAAAAAAAACAAAAAAACAAAAAAAAACAAAAAACACAAACACCCCCACACAACACACCCCAAAAAAATCCAACAGTTAAGTCAGGACTTTTCAAGTTCATGTGTCAAGAGGATAAAGTTTATGCAAAACACAATTATATAAGAGACCATAGTTCTCAGGATGTTAACGAAAGATGAGCCATCTGCTGTGCTTATAAATCAGCTTCTAAATTGTAAGAGAATGTTTTAATTTAATAATAAATTAAATAAATCATCACTGTCACAGTCCGCAAGAATACATACAACATGTGGAGTTACTCTAAAAGATGTAAAGGCATGCTTTTGTTCTGGACCTACCACATAACTGTCACTCAGAAAACAGTCTCTTCAGGTATTCTTCACTAATAAGCATCTATCTCTTGCCTTCTCTTACATTTAAGCTACTGTAAAGCTGTAGTTATGGTTTCTTTACTAGTATCATTGCAGTTGCTCCCTCTCTTTTGCAGACATCTCCTTCAACATCATAGCTTCCAAAGCAATAGCCTCTCTCCCCCCATCACAGGCTGGTGAGGTCAGCCGGGCAAAAAAGAAGGTACAAGCTATAGCAGACCAAAGCATCCTTTAGCATGTAAAGCTTAACTGATGTGCTGGGTGCTGCTTTTACCATAAACAGTGATGCTGCTTTGTTCTAGCTTTTTAATATTTTATTTAGGTTTTGCATTCTCCATTTTCTGCTGATTTAACAGTCCAGTTCCAGCTGTGCAGCTCCCTAGGCACCCTATGCATTCATAATTACTATTGGATAAACATGTATTTGAATGGGGCAACAGATGACACACAGATAGTTTTTCTTTGCTTATTCCCACCTATGTCATCTTATAATAGTTGAGATCAAGAATGTATGCAGTGATGGTGACTGGAGGGCGTGGCTGAGCCAGATGCAGAGCTAGCAACAGGGAAGAACTGTGTTGGAAATGGAAAGACAAGGACCCCTTATTTGTTATATATACCCTCTAATAAGAAGTAATATAACTTTTTTATTTATAATAAGGAGAAGCTATCTAGTAGCACTTATGACATAGGAGAGCTGTGTATTGTTAAGAATGGGTGTTGTGCTGATGTTAAACAGGTGGCTTGATTTGGCAACAGTCTTGAACACACTGGTGGCAATGGTCCACCATGCCCAGAGCTGGAATTGAGCCACAACAAGATAGCAATTGCTACTATGATAGTAGACGGAGCTTCAGCAGAACTAGTTGCTTAAGGAGATAGGGAATCATCAGCATGGGAATGAGGAAGTGAGGAGTTATGGTAGTTAAGGACAGCACTGAAGCAAGGGGTGAAACAAAGTTGTGCAGAGAGGCCTGCTATTATAGCAGTGATGGGAATGAATAGTGCACCGGGGTACAGTGCAGAGACAGAGAAACAGGGTACACGAGCTACCCAGAGATAGCTGGGATCTGGACAGAGAGCGAGCTTTACTGAGGTAACAGCAGCAGCGATTGGGAAGTAGCTAGGAAAGGATGATCTCAGAAGGGGCTGCAAGAGTAAAGGCAATGACAGTTTCGAGGCATACATAGCAGGGACAATCAGTGTGGGTGCTCTGGGCCACGATGCTTGCAAAGGAAGAGCTTAGGGAGGATAAGCTGTAGGACAGGCCAGGGAGGAAACACCAACACAGCCAAGAGTGGGCGCAGAAGGTTCTGGGGAACAATTCCTAGCGAGGGCGGCTAAGGACAGAGCGGAGCAAGTGGTCTGGGGCGACGAGGATCGCGGAAGGGTGGCAACAGGAACGCAGCACATCGGGGCGGACGGCGGCGGGGACGGTGTCAGCCCAGGGGCGGCTGTAACCGCACCCACCCAACCTGTCGCCCGCCGGGGCGAGCGGCCCGGGCCAGGGCCGGGGAGGCGGGCGGCCGCGGCACCGGGCCGTTACGGGCGTCAGCGACGCACGCGGCTAACGGCCGCCCCCCCCCTCGCCCCCCGCCTCCGCGAGCAGGGGCGCTCGCGCCCGCCTGCCGCTCCCTTCACGGCAGCGGCGCGCGGCCCGCGCCCACGCCCCGCCGCCCGCAGCGCCCCGTCTCTTTTCCCCGCCATCGCACCCATCCTGCTCCCCCCGCATTTCCAAACCCCCCCCCCAACAGCTATTCTAACCCGCGCCCTTAATTGCGATCGCATCTCTTTCCTCCCCGCGCTCGTTGCAGCTTCTGCCCCGCACATGCACCGCTTGCAAGAAGGAGGGCGGATGGGCAGGGGCGGACACCACTGCGTAGCGCTGTAGCATCCTCAGTGTTCACAATGAAGCCGACGCAACAACGAAAATCCACCGCCTCCTCACACGGCGACACCATTAACACAGCGCACGTAGCATCCTCTCTGCTTCGCTCTCCTCCTCTTCCCCCATCTCCATTGTCTGGGATTCACAGCACACCGAAACCCCCGCCCGGGGGAGGTGAGCTCCCGCGGGGTGAGCGATTCCTCCTGTCGCATCCGCGGACAACAGCACCAGAGCGCAGAAGCGCTCGCTCACCACCTTCTCACCTAAACACCCACACCCTCCCCACCGCTTTCTCCTGTCAAATTCGCACAGCCCGAGCCATATTTCCCCTCCGGCTCTCACGGCAGCGAACAATGTGCACGAACCAGCCACCACGTCACGCACACCGGGCGCGGCTGAGAGGGGGGGACCCCACCGTGGGCTGCCCCTCCCTCCCTCTCCCCCGCCGAGCCCGGCGGCAGCGCAGCGCAGGGCAGCAGCGGCGGGGTCCGCCCGACCCCATTGTTCGCCCCGCCAGGTCCCGGCACTCTCCCTCCCCAGCCCCGGGCGTACCTGCGGCTCCAAGCAAAACCAGCGTCCAGGGCAGCGCCGTGGCCAGCAGCATCGCAGCCGGCTGGGGGAGAGGGAGCCTCTCGCGAAATAGCCTTTTCCTGCAGTTCGGAAGAAACGCAGTTCGCTGCTTTTATATTTTTCGCTTTTTTTTTTTTCCCCCCGCGTTTCCCTTCGCCGCTGCCGGCCGCGCTCCAGCTCCGTTACCGCGCGCGCTCCCCTCACCACCTTCTGCCGGCTGCGCCCCGGCCGCGTCCCGGCGCCGCCGCGCTGACTGACAGGCGGCCTCAGCACCGAGCCCCGGATCCCTGCGCCACCGGCCGCGCGCGGAGGGTGGCACCGCCGTGTTCTTCCACCCGCGCCCACCTCAAATAGTACCGCGCAGCCCGCGCAGGAGCGGACTAGAGGCGCCGAGGGGCGCTCCCGGCCGCCTCGGAAACGCGGCGCGGATTGCGGAGCCGGTTCGGCGGTCCAGCCGGCGGAGCCTCCCGGGTCTCGGGCGCTCTCAGACCCGGGGCAGGGCCGCGGCCCCTTCGGGGGTAGTTGGTTGCCAAAAATGCAATTAACGAATTAGGCGGCCCGCGGGGATTTGGGAAGGGACTTCCGTGCCGCTTTGGCCGGCACCTGCCCGAAGGAGTCCCTGTGGGAAGGCAGGTGGGACACGAAGAGAGCAAGGGGAAGACCCTTTTATCAATCCCCTCTGCTTCAGCTGGGTGTTTGTTCCATCTTGGCATGAGTGGGCCAGAGCCTGGTGAGAAATCTCATAGCAGGGTTAGCAGGAGTCCCAGAGCCAGGAGTTCTTACAGCCAACATGTTGCCACCGCTGACACTCGTGGGAAAAGCCAGGGGGAAACTGGGCAAAGAGGTGCTCTGTGGAGACCCAGCTCTGAAGGAAGCAGGTTGCCAAGTTTTGAACCGTTTCTGCCAGGCCTCCTTCCACAGGGCTCCACACTGGCCCTCCAACCACCTGCAACTCACCTGGGCAGTACATCAAAGCTCTTCCCATGAGTCACGTCTTTGTTTGTGGGTACATACAGAACATCTTGGCGTTCAGCTTCTTGTCTACATCAACATCCACAGCAGCAACTCTTCTGCTTTCAAGATCTGAGAGGCAGCAGGCACGCAGGCACAGTGCCAGAGTTGATGTGGATTCAGTACTGAGTGTAGAGAAAAAAAAAGTAAAGGTGGAAAGTCAATTTTGAACTAGATTTACATCACAGTCAACAAAGCCTGTCTTTTTCAGACTATCGTGTCTTAACGGTGCTCCTCCAACACCTTCCCAAACTAAAGAAATTGCTAAGAGCCCTCATTACTTGAGCATAGTATTTACTTGCTTTGGGATCTGTGCTTTAAGGGAGAGAAAGTTCTTAGGAAAAAATTAAAATTTCAGCATTTATTTTACTTAGGTGCAGCCTAACAGCCTCCGTTTTCATTTCATTAGTACTAGAGAAAAGCACTTCAGCTGAAGTAGACCTTTTGTCATAACATGCACAATAACCTGGCTCAGTGGTCTAATTGTAGTTGCTATTTTAAAATGAAATTCAAAATACCTAGAGTAGTTGTGAACACGTAAGGACTTCTAATGACACAGAGACTTTATTAGCAGAAAACATCCAAGCAGAAGCCATTTAGACAGAAGATAGCTTACTTAGAAGATAGCTTACTTAGATAAAGAAACAATACCATTTGCATACAATTTAACACCAGTATTTCAACAATATTTGAATATAGTCAATCCATTCCAGTATTTTGTTGTCAGTGGTCTAAAGGATCATTCCAGACCAGATCATATTCTTTTATTTTATCCTTTTCTGTTTGAGAAATCCCTCCCCCCTTCCCATTTTATAAAAAATCTTTCTCTAAAAGAAACAACAAAATTACGTATTGCACTGTGATTGAAAACATTCCTTCTCTGCTCCTTTGCTCTGCCTAGCCCATGGCCTCATATTGGATTGATTATATACAGAGAGCAACCTTGCTCAACCATGCCATGTGCTATTACCCGACTCCCTCTTGCTCTTCCAGTTCACACCAATCCCCACTATCCTGAAGACTTGCATTCTTGGACTCTATATTCTGCCACACCCCCCCGCCCCCAACATAAGGTCACTCATCCGGGAAAATGTCAATACTAATTTAAAGTTTTTCAGGTCATACAGATGCTCAGCTCAGACCATTTTGGAATAGAAAGCCAACCTCTCACTAAGAGTATTTGTTTGGGATAAAAACCCTCAGAAGAAACAGTAATCTTTATCCTGAAAATAATAAGCCAATTTCTGGATACATATTTACAGTTTTCCTCTTGTCATAAAGAGTACACTGAATTTACATCAATTATTGCACAACTTTAGCAGATTAAATCAGCTAGTGGCTGTAGAGGAGAGAGGCAGGATCTCCATCATCCATCAAATCAGAAACATCTTGCAAGACTCCCACCTTGTTTCTTCATCCTTTCAACTGCTGGTTGACAAATGTGGATAAACATAGTGGCAAGCCATCTGCTTCTCCTTGGGTCTCCCCTCTACTCTGCCATCAACTTTCTCAATGAGCTTGCCCTGTAAAAAGTAACCCCAGGAGGTAACAAAATGCAGCTTCTTGAGCCATGGGGGTTTTTATACCAGCTACATTTCTGGCACCAGGGAATTTTTGAGTCCCTACCCTGAGCAGTTTAAGATAAACTCTTTCTCATTCAGCCAGATTAGTGCCCAATCATTTCCTACAGAGAAAAAAGACTGGGTTGTCATACTGGTATTAGTACTGTCAGAAATAGTTTGTAGAATTTGTTCTAGTTCCCAGAGGCCTTAAACAAGCGTCTATTTCTTTCCATTTGCTACAAAGGAGATCTAGATAGACAGCTACCCTGTAAAAATTACATTTATAGCATTCATAATAAGAGATCGTGGCACTGCGCAGGTCATTATATATTGAATGAGGAAGCTGTAACACTAAATGATAAGATGCAACTATCCATTTTTATAAACTGTGACTGAGAATTTTCTGTGAAATTTCAATCATCTTCTCTACAAAAAATCAGCAAAACAGCAAAATACTGTCAAAACAGTAGTATTTGTATGTGTTGAACTATAGTTTTATACAGAACGTTAAATCAATTAAGGAAGCTCCTTGCCCCAAAAGCTGACATCGCATAAAATTGGAAGAGAAAGCTGTGTGAAGAAAGACTGCTACATACAACAAATAGCATGAATTATTATATACTGTGAGTGAGTAGTTGTTTGTGTTAGAGATACCTAATACATCTTTATTCCTATTAAGCAATACCTTAATCCATGACACATTAGTATTAATTCTCAGAGCAAGTAAAGGGAAGTACTCACATGGAAATCAGCAGTGTAAAGAACATCCCAACCCCTCTCTGACTTAGTGACAGGGCAGAATAAAGGAGAAGCAGGGGGCACAATTTCACTTGCAGTGGACTTCCAGAAATGAGCTTTTTCACCCCCTCTTCAAAAGATCTGACAGAGCCAAGAAACCAAATGTCTAGACTGAATTTAAGCTTCTAAGTAATTTAAAAAATAAAATTGTGGATTTTATGATGAAAGTCCAATAGAGACCAGTCCCAAATTGAATGAGATGTTCTAAGTACATTACCTGAAACATTTCCCCCTTTTTTTTGCTGTTAACAGATGTCTATCTGCCAGGCCCATACATTTCTTTTCAATGATCTATAAAATAAAAAGGGCAAATCACACAAATCAATAATTGAAATGCAGGTTTCAATTATTGAGTTCATTGGGTGCTTTGAATAAAAGTGAACAGGAAATCTGGATCAAGTTTTTTCCCAGGTTTAAAAACAGCAGCAATGGTATCTACCAAATTAATGCTACTTCTATTATGCAAATACGAGAACAAGTGAACTAGAGTTTTACCTCTATAGGCATTTCACAGAGCAGGTGCAGCTTCAGCATCATGGAAAGATTGCAAAATAACCCTCTCTATAGCCAGCATTCCCCTTTTCCTGACAAAACTATTCACTGGTTGGTGTTTGAGGCAGGATTATTACATGATGCACTGGAAATTCTCTATGACTTTAAAGCATCATATGAGGTCAAGAGAGGACTTCAGCTGTCAAACTAAAAAGAAGTAACAGACAGTTATGCTTTGTAGTCAGTCTTTGAGAAGAAAAGATTACAATCTAAAATTGCTACTGGGGTCAAATCCCAAGATTCAAACCTGATGCAACAGGACAGTAATAACCGTTGCTATGATGACAGATGTTGTATGTTGCTGATCACTGAATAGTAATAGAAATAATTTTTATCAACATGCCCCTTATGCTAGCATCATTAAGGGGAGGTAGTCTGCAAAGAATTACTTGGGATTTTCCGTGGGAACCATTAGATGCAGATTTATAAACCACAAAGTAGACTTATTACTTGTTTGTAGGCTATGGAAAATAGGCATACTTTAGTGGCACACTGAGAGAATGCACTTCAATAGTCTCTCTAGTCAAAGTGTATTCTATGCTGTGTAGATATTTATTATGATGGATAGCAACACTATGCAAAATGCACCTCAAATCGCAAATAGGTAATACAATATCCTTCTCTTTGTCACAGATTACTTTGTAAGGAAGTCTTAATAACAAAAAAAAAAGTAACAGTAACTCCCCTTCCTCCTTTAGGCAAAATGGCTTACAAAACTAACTATTAAGGCCCTTCTGGTGATGTCATAAACGACAAGTATGAAGATGAAGTCATCAGAATTTGAGAGATAAAATTACAATCCAGAAATTCAGAATCTTGGCACTAAAAACAAGTATGTTTTACCTCCATACCTGGAACAAACATCAATGTTGATCTCAGCATTTGTCCTGCTCTGGGATTTTGCTTGCCCCATCTGTCCGAATAGGTAATTGTTCCATGTACAGAGGTAAAAAAATATGCACGCGACTGCTTCTAACCTATTCATGAAAATATCCAGGGAAAGAGACTTCATGAAGATAGCCTGTCAGTGTGACTCACAATGGAAATGTCATCAACAATCTCATGGCATTCCGAGAAGTTATCTGGCAGTTACTTTCCACTTAGTTTTGGAAATAAAAGACATCTTCCATCTTTGAAGTTAAAGCTTGAAATTTAATGTGTGTGCTTCCATGTATAAAACCATTACAGTGTGAGGTAAATGTCTCATTTTAATAATTTTAATCTATCCAGTCAACTCTGGTGTTTCAATTCAGAAGACAGACAGACTCTTAGCTGATCAGAATCACAGAAAATAAGGGGGCTGTAAAGAGTACATCAGGATGAATTGCCTGTTCTTTTACACTCTTCCCATGGTATCACAAGTATTTGTTTTAA